CAGGCCCTTGCACTTGCCAGGGAAGCACTTATTCCACTGAACCATCTCCCTGGCCCCATCTTTCTTTCTGTTTATTTGATATAGGGTCTGGCTGTGCAGCTCAGACTCATAGTGATCCTCTTGTCTCAGCCTCCACAACACTGGGATTACAGGCAGCACTAGTTTGTTCAGTTTTGGTGGTTGGCATGCTGTGCCTGGGGTTCCAGGGTCAGCAGGGCATGTGGTACTGGGGATTGAGACCTAATCCTTGCACTTGCCAGGCAGGTGCTTACACCACCAAGCTATCTTCCCAGCCCCAAATTTCTTTATGATGTAATTTTTTTGTATTGGGAATTGAACTCAAGACCTTTTTGCTTATCAGGCAGGTACTTGGCAGGTACTTGTGCTGCTGAGCTTGTCCTCAGCCTCTGAATCTCTAGTTCTCTAGAGTATATACCTGCTGTTTTTCTGTTTGTGTGCTGGGTATTATTAGGAGAGAACAGAGAATGTGACATTTCAGTTGGATGATCTTGGTCTTTTTTCAAGAACGTGGGGGGTCGTTTACAGAAATATTTGAATCCTAAGGTTCATATTAGAAAAAGGAAAAACCTCCGAGCTGTTCCACTCTTACTTTCCAAGACATCACCATGTGAATATGAAAGTTGGGGAAGGTTTGGTATCTTCAAATATTCATTTATCATGTCTGTCTCATCCATAAACTGGCAAGTATTCATTATAATTGGAAAGTAGTCAGTATAATTGTGAATGAAACTTTTTTTTTTTACTTTCAGAGGTAAAAATTTCAGAAAAGAAAAAAATAGCAGAGAAGATAAAAGAGAAAGAACGGCAACAGAAGAAAAGGCAAGAAGAAATTAAAAAGAGGGTAAGTACTGTTCATTTTCTAAAATATGAGTCTATGTTGAATTTTTACATCAGTAGTGGTGTAGACAACAGGGCACTGTGAAAAAATGGATACCACAAGGTAAGGAAATCCGAAAAGAGGTTGATTGTGGTTTTTACAGAAACAGAGCACAGAAGCTTTGTGTATTAGAATGTGTCATAAGTTTTCACATTCAGGAATATTCATGATTGCCCAGTGTTTATAGCAAATGATTTTTGTCCGTGGCTACAGTTCTTTCTAGTCATGATTGTCTTGATTATCCGCAGGGTACATGTGGATTGAAATGAAAGCGCTCACTTCTGTGCCATCTACTTTGTAAAAGTTTGTTTTTATTATTTGGGGTGGGATTAAGAATATTTTGTAACTTTATTTGATTTTTGAATAGAAAACACATTTACATGGTTCAGAAAATAAACTATTAAAACACATCCTTTATCCATTTATTCTGTGTCTCTCCTTGTATTCCATAATATAATACTGATTTCATGTCTCAGGATTTATGCTTGGATATAGCTGTATATTCATAAGTGATAATTATGGTCTCATGTTGCATCCATTTACCTATAAAAGTCTCCAGTTTCTCCTTTATGACTGAGTTAGTAACTCATTGTATAAAAAGGCCACATCGTTTTTATCCATTCCTTGGTTGATAGGGATTTGGGTTGTTTCCAAGATTTAGCCATTACAAATTGTGATGCTGTGAACATGGGTGCATATATATCACTGTGGTACAGTGTTTTTAATTCTTCTGAGAAGATACCTAGAAGGGGACAGCTGGATCAAATGGGACCTTTAATCCCAGTTTTTTGAGGAATTTAAACTGATTTCCATAGTACTTGCCTCAGTGTACACTCCCAACAGTGGAGAAAGGTTCCTTTTTCCCATAGCCCCCAGCATTTGTTATTGGTTTGATTTTTTTTTTTTAATGTATTTATATTTTACACAGGGTCTACAGGGTCTCACTGCACAGATCAGAATTGTAGTGATCCTTCCTGTTTTCACCCTCCCAAGTGCTGGGCTTACAGGTGCACGCCACCACACTAAGTCTTCAGTTGCCATCTCAGTGCGCCCTATGGTGGGGGCACAGCAGGTTGGGGATTGAACCCCTGACCCCTGCATCAGCCTAAGCAGGCACTTTAATCTGCTGAGCTATTTGACTGGCCCAATATTTAGATCTTTGATACATTTTGAATTTAGTTTAGTGCATGGGTCCAATTTTTAATCTGGGCCATATACAGAGCCAGGTTTTCCAGCATCATTCATTCATGCATGCCTGCATGCATGTGTGCATACATTTATTTATACCAGGGATTGAACTTGGGGCCTTATGCTTGCCAGGCAGACATTTGTGCTGCTGAGCTATATCCCCGGTCTCCCCAGCACCATTTATTAAAGAGGCTATCTTCCAGAGAATGTGTTTGGCACCTTTGTCAAAGATATGATGGCTGAGTATGTCTGGAGTTGTTTCTGCATCTTCTAATCTGTTCCATTATTCATTGGATGTTTTTTGGCTGTTTTTATCATAGTATATAGTATAATTTCACAACTTAATAGTATAATTTAAAATCGGGGATTAGGATGTGCCCCCAGACTGGTTATGTTGTAGGCATCTGAAATTTATTATTATTATTAGGCATCTGAAATCTATTACTGCTGCTCTTACTACTACTACTATTTCGTTTTACTATGTAGTTCATGCTAGCCCAGGGCACGCTGAGATGGTGATTAAGACTGGGCATGGTGGCGCACGCCTGTAATCCCAGCTTTTGGGAGGCTGAACACAGGTGGATAGCTATGAGTCCAATCTATGTAGTGAGACCCTGTAGACCCTGTACTAAAATACAAAAAAAAAAGTTGTCCTAGGATAGTCTTTATATAGCAGTATGCGAGATTGCCTTTTTTTCCCTTGCCTATAAACTTAGTTTCTTGTTTCTAAAAAAAGTGTATAGAGGTAAGTGTGGTAGCACATGCCTTTAATGCTAGCCCTTAAGAGCAGGAGAATTCCAAGTTCAAGGCCAGCCTGGGTAACTTGGTGCAGCCCTTTTTCAGAAAAACCCAAAAAAACCAGAGTTCAACATTTCCGGGGTTAAATCCCCACCACTTAAAAAAAAAAAGCCAGATATGTTGGCACATACCTTTAATCCCAGCACTCGAGAGGTTGAGGCAGGACTGCTAGGAGTTCAAGGTTATCTTGGGCTACAAAGTAAGCTCAAGCCCAGGCTGAACTGCATGGTGAGACTGTGTCTCGGAAAGACAAAAAACTCAAAAACCTCAGTCTTGTTGGGTTCACATTTCATTTCTGTTACATTACTGGGTAAATGTGCTGATTTCTATTAGTGTAGGCTGATTGTTTAACCCCTCTGCCTCTTTTTTTATCTGTAGTTAGGATAAGAATAAAATATAAACCAGGCTTTGCAACATTATTCCTATAAAGTCAGAATTGGGAGCCAAAGACAGGAGGATCATAGTTCTAGTTTCACTTGGGCAACTCACAGAGACTGTCTCAAAAAGGGATGAAGGCAGAGGTGTACCTCAGTATATGGACTGATTTCATCATAATGCCAGCCCTCTTAATGCTTCTGTTTCATTTCATTTTAGTTAGAGGAACCTGAAGAACCTAAAGCGCTAACACCAGAAGAACAATTAGCAGATAAACTGCGGCTAAAGAAATTACAGGAAGAGTCAGACCTTGAATTAGCAAAAGAAACTTTTGGTAAGATGAAGGTGCTTTTATACTAGGGGAAAGCTCTGGAACTCTTTTATTAGTTGTGAAATTAAAAAAATATCTTCTTTAGAGGAAACATTATAGTATGTCTGATTTAGGTATTAGAAAGCAGTTTTAGTCTGTATTTACTAGAGAAGATAGAATGAGGCACATGATTTTGAATAATTGGTTGGAGTATCAAAAGATTTTTAAAGGAAGTAGTCATTGGATCCAAATACTGTTGCCTAGAATATATATTTTTGGCTGGATGAAGCTGAGATGAAATCAAAGGTCTGTAGCTTTAAAATTTTAAATACTGAGCTGACTACAGCAGTAACCTATTGGTTTAAGTCTAGCTAAGATTGGGACAGTGGAATGCTGGTGCAGGTCAGGCAGCCATCCTTGGCTTCTTGTGCTTAGGGTTATTTGTTTCTGTGATCCTTTCCAGCCATGCAGTGCCCTTTCTTTCAAGGGTTATCATTAGGCCTACAGCTGTGGTTTGTGGGTAAGATAAAAGCAATGTAGTGTTCCCTGGGGAGAGTCACATGACACAGGGTAGGATAAAAGATAAGGCAGAGAGAAATAAAGCCTTTACTTCAACCAAATTTGTTGCTGTTACTTATGGTGTACATTTCAGAATACAACATTAAATAATCAAATAACTTTGAACTGACTGCTCATGGATGGCAACTCAAAACCCACTTATTGCAAAATGCCAATGAACTTAAACCCTGAGGTTATAGTTTAGAAAAAACAGCTCATACACTTGGCTTACATGCTCTCAGAGAAGGCTTTGCATGCCCATTGCAGCTCAGGAGCCACAGGTTCACTAGCAATTCATTCTACCCTTCTTCTCTAATGTGCATTAAGGACTGACTTAGTAGTGGCAGTGGATGTTCCTGTTGTTTGGCATGTCCTAAAAGTACTCGTCTAATTAGAGGGCACACTTGGCTATCACTCTGTGTCTTTACAATGTTGTGAAAGCTACCAGTATGTCTGTCAAACAGGTGAATTTATTTTTATTTTTTATTTTTTTAAATTTTATTGATTTATTTGTGTGTGTGTGTGTGTGTGTGTGTGTGTGTGTGTGTGGCCAGCTCAGCCCACCAGGGGGCGGGGCTGGCTGGCATGTTGTGCTGGGGGATTGAACCACGGTCCTTGTGCTTTGCTAAGCTTGTTCTAAGTAGGTGCTTTAGACCACTGAGCCATCTCACCAGCCCCAAACAGGTGAATTTATGTGATGTGCACAAAGCCTAGTATGGAGCACCAGTATTTATAGTCTTTGACTATAGGAGCATGCTCTCTATGCTCCTTTGGCAGCTTCTGAATCCTATGGGTGCTTTGTAAGACAACACTTACAATGAATGAAACATATGGGTTTTATTTACAAAGGAAGCCCGTTATATTGAAATAGGTATTACAACACTAAAATGACACAGAATTGTTTATCTGTTTATCTATTGTGTAGTGCTAGGCGTTAAATTAGGGCCTTACACATGCTGGGCAAACAGTCTACCCCTGAGCTATGCTTCTAGCCCAGCTGTACTTAATAAATGTATTCAGTAGGATCCAGTGTCAGGTCTACTATGTATTTTGAAGATAATGATGACTGAACAGTAGTAGAGGAAGGAGTATCCTCAACAATGTTATGTGATGTGAAGGTATGTGTGGTCTCTACTGGTAAGTCATTTCAGTGGTGCTATTGTAATCTGTCACCTGTTATTACCTACTGCCCATGATAAAAGCAAATGAAAAGGTAAATTATAGATTAGAAAAATCAATATGTGTTTTCTTAATTTACAGATTCCCTAAATTCTGTTCAAAGAGTCCATGATCCCAGGTTAAGAACTCTTGTTTTAGAATAAAGTAATAGGGTTATTTATATAGCTAATTGTTTATAAACATTAAAAAGGAAATGCTTTCTAATATATTTAGTGCTTCTCTTCTGCAGGTGTCAATAATACAGTTTATGGAATAGATGCTATGAATCCGTCTTCAAGAGATGATTTCACAGAGTTTGGAAAGTTACTAAAAGATAAAATTACACAGTATGAAAAGTCACTATATTATGCCAGTTTTTTGGAAGCCTTAGTTCGAGATGTGTGTATTTCATGTAAGTAATTCTAATCTCTGGCCCATGTGGCTAATTTACTAAGGACATCCTCAAGAGGATGGGAGGGTTTATCTTGGCTTTTATCTTTTGAAGCTGTAGTGCTGACTCAGGATTTGTGTAATTACCTTGACAATATTCTACATGTACAGTTAGTATGAGTTTTGGGTTTTTTCAGCAGGGTGGGATAGGCTACCTTCTTGTTTTAATTAATAGTGGCTTTCCAGATACACACTTGGGCTCATAGGCAAGATAGCTGATGAAACACTAGCCTATTTTTATCTAATAATCTCATGTAAGAGGCTATGCAGTATCTTTTGGGGGAAGTGACCTCTGGACTTACAGGGTTATAGAGATTGCTGAGAATTCACTATTTTATGAATGAGAAAATCCAACACAAGGTACAGGTTGCTTTGACTGTGGCATGCCCCTTAGAGTCACACATTGTTGGGTAGAGTGTATGGGCATGACAGTCTTTGTTGGTATCTAACATGGAAAGGACTGATTTTGCTGGTATATGCCGTTTCTAAGGTTGAGAAAGAATCCTATGTAATTAGTTAAAATTGGGTTATCTAGTGGGGCATGGTGGTGTATGTCTATAATCCCAGTACTTGGGAATCTAAAGCAGTAGGATCACAAGTTTGAGGCCAGTTTAGGCCTTGTAATAAGTTTAAGGCCAGCCTGAACTATAGTGAGAATCTTAAAAAGGAAGTGTTTTTTTTTTTCTAAATTTGGTCACTGAGAGCACCTGCCCATTAGCTCAGTTTTTTAAGTGACTGCTTAAACAAAGCAATCAGGATGCTGTGGTTCCATCCCAGGTCCTCAAGTCTTTTTTTTTTTTTTTTGCGGAACCGGGGATTGAACTCAGATCCTTGCGTTTGCCGGTCAAGCGCTTATCCTACTGAGCCATCTCCCCGGCCCCAGAGTTCTTTCTTTTTTTTTTTGCAGACCCGGAGTTTGAACTCAGACCTTTGCGCTTGCCAGGGAAGCGCTTATTCTACTGAGCCATCTCCCCCGGCCTCAAGTCTTAACAGACCTGCTTTGAAGGCATTCTGAGCAAGCCAAAAGAATTAAAAAATAAAAAAATAAAAGTTGGTCACTGGCATATGCAGAGGTGTTATTTTATTCTACATATACTGTTTCTGGAGGTGCTCTCTAAACCACTGAACTGGTGGTTCTTTCCAGCTTTAAAGATGGGAGGATATGTTGTCCTCTAAACAGGCCTGTCACTTGTAGTACACCAAGATAGGAGATAGTAACTGTTTTCATTCTTGCTCTTGTGCTACAAAATAGAGATGCTTGAATGTAGGGAGTTTCACCTGCAGATTTCAAGATTGTTTTTTTTTTTTTTAATTATTTATTTTTATTTATTACATTTATTTATTGTGTGTGTGTGTGTGTCCAGCTCAGCCCACCAGGGGGCGCTGCTGGCTGGCATGCGGTGCTGGGGGATCAAACTGCGGTCCCTGTGCTTTGCCAAGCTTGTTTTAAGTAGGTGCTTTAGACCACTGAGCCATCTCTCCAGCCCTTCAAGATTGTTGGGTGGTGTTGATAAGCGTCAAGTAGACATAGAAGCCTGTAGTTCCAGCACTGAGAGAGGCTGAGACAGGAAGATTGCAAGTTAAAGTGCTGCCAGGGCATCTGAGCAAGACCCTGAGAATAAACAAAGAGAGGGCTGCAGATGTAACATGGTACCTAGTAGAGTGTCCCCAGCTTTAATCCCCAGTACTGGAAAAATATTGTCACTGGAAACTGAAGTAAATACCTGTAACCACCAGCATTGGGGAGACTGAGAAGCAGGAGGGTCATGAGGCCATCTTGGACTGAGACCGTCTCCAAAACATTATTCCAGTTAATTTAGCTACTCTCCTGACTGAGCACTTAGGGTGTAGGTATGGTAAAGGAAGGAAGCCTCGTGAACATAAACTTTTTGTGGTTGAGCTATTTTGTACTGCTAAATGCAGGTCATTATACCGGGTGTGGTAACAAAGTGTTTAAAAAAACTGTGAACTAGGTGTGGTACACACCTGTAATCCTGACACTTGTGAGACTAAGGCACGAGGATTGCTGGGAGTTGAGGCTAGCCTGGGCTACATAGTGAGATCTTGCTTCAGAAAAAAATACTCGTTTTTACTTCAAACAGACTTACCTGTTGTTCTTTCATGGTTGTTCTGATTTTGGGGAAGAGCTAGAAGTAACACAGTGTCAAATCTGGTGGGTGAATAAGGTGGATGAAGACACACTAATGCTTTTACAGGCCTGTCTTTCCACTGGATGGTACTTGGGGGCAGCATTCACTATTTTTTTTTTTTTTTAATCACAGCTTGTGAAAACAAAAGACAACTTCTAGAACTGTTTAAAAAAATGGCAAGAACAATGAAGGTGTCTTTTATTGTAAATTTTTAACTGGAAATCAAACTCAGGACCTTCTGCTTGCCAAGCAGGTGCTTGTGCTGCTGAACGATATCCCTGGCCCCAATTTTTTTTAAAATTTAAAAAGTTTCTTGGCATGGGGGGGCATTGAGACAGTCTCTCATTATGAATCTTTCACTGTAATTTTTTTTTGAGACAGGGTTTTGACATGCAGTTATGGCTGACCTTAAACTCACTATGGAGTTAAGGCTGGCCTTGAACTTGTGGTGATCCTCCTGCCTGCCTCAGCCTCTTAAGTGCTGGGACTACAGGTTTGTACCACCACACCTGGCTAACATTAGTTTTTTGTTTTTGTTTTTTAATGACACTTGCCTTATGTGTGACTTGAGCCAAATCTCAAAACCCCATATATTTTGGTCAGCTTTTGTAAAGTTAAATTTTTGTTAATGAATTTACCATTTTAAGTACTGAGTTCTGATCCGTGATCCCAGTAATAAAAAGCATGATTCCATATCCCTTTAATTACAAAAAGAAATTCAGTCATTTCAAAAAGGTTTTTTTTTGTATTTTTAGGGAAAGGTCTCCAGGGTGTTCAGGGTCTCACTGCTAGACTGGATTTCCACCTGTTTACAGCCTCCCAAGAGCTGGGATTACAGGCACACGCCACCACGCCCAATCTCAATTGCCATCTCAGTGCACCCTGGGGGCAGGGCCGGTACAGCAGGCCTTGAAATTGAACCCTAGCCCCTGCGCCTGCTTGCAATACTTTAATCTGTTGAGCTATTTGGCCAGCTCTCTAAAACTCTGTGTTCGAGACAGGGTCTTGTATAATTCGGGTTGATCTTGAACTCAGGCTGGCCCCAAACTTGTGGCAGTCTTTCTGCTCAGCCTCCCCACTGCTGGGAATATAGGCAAGTATGCACCACCACACTCAGCTTCAGAATTACAGTTTATTGGTGCACAAAATGGATGTCACAAAACACTTTTGAAAGGATGCCTATTTTGCTTTAACTTTTCAAAATGTTTATATGTTTATTTTTGTGGATGTCTTTCTTTTTAGTGGAAATTGATGACTTGAAAAAGATTACCAATTCATTGACTGTGCTTTGCAGTGAAAAACAGAAGCAAGAAAAGGTAAGGGCCGACTGCATAGGGAAATGCTTATTAGGGTGTTATGAGAAGAATATTAATAGATGTATGAGAACCTATCAAGTTTAAAATCAAGCAGTTCAGCCAGGTAAGGTGGTGCACACCTGTAAGTTGCAACACTCTGGGATGCTTCAACCAGGAGGATCAAAAGACAGCTCAACTTAATTGTGTGGCCAAGACCCTTTGTCTACCAAAAATGCAAAAAGGGTCTGGGGTTTTTTCTAGTTTTTTTTTGTTTTTTTTGTTTTTTTTTTTTGTGTCAGAAGCTGAACTCAGGGTCTGGCATTTGCCAAGCAGGCACTGCATCCTTGGCCCAGGCCCTGGGTTTAGTCCCTAGTACTCCAAAGACAAACGAACATACAAAACCAAGCAGTTCACCATGCCACTGAAGTTGGAGTAGGCACATAGGTGCCATTACTCTCTTTTGTTTGTTTATAGGCATCTTGTGGTGGTGCTTTCTGAGTTAACAGAAATCACTGTAGCTTAGTTGTTCCTTAAAGAATGTAAGTTTTTCTGGGACTAGAAGCCTTGGCATCTGTATAAGGATTGCTATACCAGAGAAAATGCTAAAAGCAGATAATATTGTGTGAATTAATTCTCTCTCTTATCCTTAGCAAAGCAAAGCCAAAAAGAAGAAGAAAGGTGTGGTTCCTGGAGGGGGATTAAAGGCCACCATGAAAGACGATCTGGCAGATTATGGTGGTTATGATGGAGGATATGTACAAGACTATGAAGACTTCATGTGACATTTTATCTTCTGGTGTCTTCTTTCTGTTGTCCACAATCCCTTCAACATGTAGCACAACTTCCTTTCCTTTCAGTTCTGCCAAATGCTACAATCAAAAGTGCAGTATCTTTTGTGCTGGTTATTTAACCCCTTGACACTTAGGTGCTAATGTGCAAATGAGGGAACTTGGATCTTGCTGCCAAGGGGTTAAAATTGGAAATCTCAATTACTACTAAATCATAGTTGAAAAACAGATTTAATAATGTCACTGTTGCTATCTGATTCCAGAGCAGCATTCACTAAATTGGAAACACAAAGATTGCAACATGACA